AGCATTGCATTCTTCCCTTAGCATTTCTTTGACGATTTGTTGATCTTCAGGAGGGAGGTGTTTCAAAGGCACTGGCGGGTCCCAGCACTCCTGATTTCATCATCCCCCACCCGCGGATAAGTCTCATTTGGATTTCCAATTTTCCCTTTTGGTCCTACCTTGAGTGTCTGTGGTTCAGAGGTCACCGAATTAGTAAACACATTTGCTGATTGTTTCAATTGTACTTGAGCCGGATATGTTGTTTTTTATGGGCTCTACACCTCCAATCTTTGTTTGACCTGGTAACACAATGTCCCGTTTAGTTGTATTCCAAACTGGAATGGTCAGTTTGGAGAATTGTCCTCTTTGAAATGAGACTAGTGTCTCACCAATATGCAGTCCATCCGGCAGGTGATAAGCCTCACTCGGTGTAAACAAAACTGTCTGAGCCTGCAAGGACGGTTTTTGGTGTGAGCACTACACCGGATGTATGTTACAGTATTTGCAGGGATTCTTTGGTTTCTTAGTACCAGTCTTTACGATAGCACCACTGGTTTCCCTACAGTTGGCTTGTAGTAAGCTTACAAGGACTTCTGCTTTGGGGGTTGGCAGTTCCAAAGCTGTTCTTTAATATGTCCACAAAACCTGGGATAACTTTCTTCCCATCAGCAACTGTCTCTTTGAATGTTTCTTCAATTATATTATAGCCGATAATTGGCTTCTCAGCCACTTTCTCATCCTCAGAGACTACTAGTGGTACTAATAACTGTTTGGTAGTATTACTGCTCGATGTAAGCTGAAAGGTTACCTCAATCCAACCTGAGAACGGAATCTCTGTCTCATTGGCTGCTTTCCCTTGGAGTACCCCTGGTCCCAGCAGTTCTTCAAACGATCGGAGCACAGTGTGTGGCAGTACTCGCTGTCTCCAGCCCTCATTGATAATGCTAACCTGAGAGCCAGTATCCCATAAGGCCTGGACAGGAGTGTTGTCTATTTCACAGTTCACAAGGCATCTCTTTCCAATAAGACCCAGTAGCTTGTTGTGCTTTTTCAAAGTGATGCCATTCACATTGGTTGGCAATTTTTCAGCTGTCGGGGATAGTCTTTGAGCAGGGCAGGTTGGTTTTTTCCTCCAGTAGTCTGCGTTTAACTTTCCAGCCAGGGCTCTGATGGTAGGTTGGGGACTGGTTTCTTTACTACTGACATGATTTGCACTTTGGGACGCAGGTTTGGTTCTGGCACAGGTTACTGTCGGTCCCTTAACAGCAACCTTCTCCCGTTTAACTGATTTTGTTTGGCCGCTCTGCATTGTCTCGCCCTATGTCCAGCTCGACCACAGTTAAAGCAATGGTCACATGCAGTTCTCTGATCAGTCTTTTCACAAGATTGACAAGTCCCTGTCCTTCGTCCAACAGTTGTTCTAGGTCCTCCAAAGCCATGCTCTTGTCGAGTTCTCGAATCTTGGAGAAGTGTTTTCATATCGAATATTTCTTGTTGCAACTGTATTACTATCTTTTCAAGGTCAGAGTTACTCTTTGAAGGCTGTTGGATTGCCAGACTACTTGTTTGTGATGGAAGCAAAGGGAGGGTGCCTGGTACCTGAGAACAATGGAGGATGTTGGCTGGCACTCTCTTCCCTTCGTCAGGTTACTGTGCTCAGATTTCTTTTGTTTCTGCTCCCTTTCCATCTCCATGTTTGTAGCCTCATTCATCTTCTCTATGAGCAACTCATCTGAGACTGTAGGATCGTCCAAGTGTTGTTTTAGTTGAAACTTGATATGGTCACTTCTCAGTCCAGTGCCCACTGACCTTAAGAATTTCTTTTGTATAAATTCAGTGCCAAAGTGTTCATCTGAACCTTCCCCTTGTGAAACGAACAGCAAACGGTCCTTCAATGCAATGGCCCTAAATAGGAAGTTCTGGGGAGTCTCTTTACTATTCTGTGATATATTGATCAATTGTTGGTATAGTTCGGAAGCATTTTCCTCTTTATAATGGCTTTTTAGGATTCTCTTGAGTGGCACTAGGGTCAGTCCACTCTTCAGCTCTAGCATGCCTCTGAGACTTGACCCAGGACTAATGGCTTTCACCACAGCTTCCACAAGCTCTGACTCGGGATATCCTTTTGCAGTCCCATGTCAATCTGGTGCATGAGGTTAGTATAGGACAGCTTATCTTTCTGTTCCTTTTCACCTATCTGACCAGCAATTTTAAAGTCCTTTCTGATTGTAACTTCTGGCAAGTTAGTATGGGAAAGTCTCTGAGCAACTAGATTAGGGTCTTGATTTGCAGGACTTCCTTTTGAGTCTTTGTCTTTAGTGCTAAGTTCTTTCATCTGTCCCTCTATCATCTTGGCCGTTTCTTGAAGTTTTTCCTGTATACTGTAGTATTGCTGTTTTTTTAAATCCTTTAACTGTTGTTCTGCTTGAGGGTCTTTGCCACTATCGCTTGGTGCTTCCATGTTATCTCTCTTCTCTAACTCACCAATGAATTTCTTAGTTGCCTGCAGAAATTGTGTGTCACCACTTCTTCACTTTCAGTCTCTACCAGTTCATCTAACACCTCATTCACTATCCGCATGTAATGGCGCCGGGTTTTTCCTTTTGCCATACTTGCTTCGGAGGCCTTATAAACTGGCAAGTCTCCATGAGATCATCGACTGTCATGTGAATCAGGTGTTCACTGATTTCGTCTTGCAACTTTTCGATATCCATACTCCTAATGTTTTTCTGTAACTTCACCACGGACAGCGTAGTCACTCCTTTTCACTTCCGGACCTTTTGGCGTTCCTTTCACCCGGCCCCACGTTGGGCGCCAATTTTGTTGCACATACGGTAAATAATTCAACTGTGCGAAGGATGGGTCGGGTGAAACCAGAAGTGTTTTATTAGGAATGGCTGTAACAAACACAGAAAACCCTTAATTACATGTGACTGGATATGTTCACTGTAATCACTGTCCTCTATACATTACTAAATATTTCCATATACATTAATAAGTATTTTCATATACATTAATAAACATTTTTTAATTGCAATACTGAATATCTAGACCTCTGCAGATATGCTAGTGACCTATTCTGCATAACAATAGCGTATTACAATAGAGAAATCACATTCCCTGTATCTTAGCGCCAAATCACATAGCTGCAATATATATTCACATTTATGCTACAAGTAATCTGATTGCATAATAGTAACAGCGACATTTACTAACCACCAGGGCACATGTTAAGTCATTTTGTCCTATTTATCATGTTAAACAGCCTCCTGCTTACCTGTAACAAACACAGAAAACCCTTAATTACATGTGACTGGATATGTTCACTGTAATCACTGTCCTGTAGGAAACAAAGTGTTAGACTTTTTAGTTCCTACTTCTGTGTCTTCCTATTATCACAGGAAGTAGTTCTGCCCTCTTGTGATGGTACAATAAAAATGCAATCACTAGTATCTTCTATTGACAAAGATAGATTAAGGGCTGCTAACCTATAATGAGAGTCTTTCATTGTTAAGGGGAGATATGAGGTACAGGTGTACCTTGTGCAATAGCTTCTCCTTTTGGAGGGAAATGCAAGAACCCCAAAGTACAATAGGAGAGGGACCTAAAGTGGTTGTAAACCTCAGACATGAAAGAAGAAAAAAGCAAATAGGGTGTACTTGTTTCAATCCAGAACACTAAATGTCAGTTCTGTCAGCTGACTCATTCCTCTGCTATCTGCATGATTCACTTCTGACCAGATTTCTTGACACCAAGAGAAAAAAGGTGACAGAGGAGGGACCTCCAGCAGATTTACAGCCTCAGCTCTGTTCCTGTGTGTTGTGTGGAGGGTGGTGTGTCTCTTCCCTCCAATCAGCTCTCAGAGCTGTAACTTCAGCTCTCCTCCCCCTACTTTTTAGAGATGAGAGATCCTGTATAAATTCTGCACTTTGAATGGATGTAGAGAAGAAAATACTGCAGATAAACAGGTACAATTTAGAATGATTTGTTTCATCTCTGTGTATCACCTGATGCCAGTCACTTCACTGGGTATATGTAAACTACTTTAAAAGTGAGGTATACAGAAGGAGCTGTATATTTGGCTGCTGTAAGGGTGAAAGATGTATATATGGTTGCTGTAGGGGTGGGGGTTGTATACTGAACTGCTGTAGGAGTGAGAACTGTATATGTACAGCAGCCATATTTACAGCCCCTACCCTACAGCAGCCAAGTATACAGCTCCCACCCCAGAATTATATACACTGCTGCTGTGGAGTTGAGAGCTAAATACATGGCTGCTGTGGTGGGTGAGAAGAGAACTGTTTATATGGCTGCTGTGGGGATGACAACTGTATATATGGCTTTGGTGGTTGTGGTGGGAGATTAAAACTGTATACTTTAGATCAAGCCACATGTTTGCTAGCTGCTGTGTTTTTGGGTCTGGCTCCTAGATTTTGGGAAGATTTGCTCAGGCTTGCCATAAACCATAACTGACACTACAAGTCACAACTTTACCAGAACAGTGAGCAGAATGGTAGAAGAGAAGACAAGATGTCTCCCAGAAATAACCTGGCCGCAGTATACAGCTCAGCCTTATCATTTTAGCCTGATCTCTGTATCCTCAGAGAAATATCTGGAGCTGGTGTTGTGTGTTGGAATGAATTGTTTCCAATACACCTGATCAGTGTAGACTGTGCCATGAAAGAAATGTGAGTAGGGTACATGAATATTTAACTTTTACTCCTCTAGTTTCATCAGCAGACAGGAATAGAGGTGACGGGTTCGAGGACAGTTATTGTGTGATTGTTACAGCATTCTACGACATGCCTTGAGGTGTCCTGGGATGTGCTATTGTCACAGCTGGCAATAAATTGCACGTTTCGTTTTAATCTCTGTTCATTGGCATTGTACCCCTCCAAATGGGTGGAGCATGTGGTTCTGTGCCCACAGTTGCAGGGGAAGGTGCAGAAGAGCCATTGCCTGAAGACACAGAGGAGCAGCTGAGCTCTGGTGATGGCACCCTTGAGTTAAGTGGACGAAAGATGGCTCGCCTCCCAACATCAATTTGTACCCTTGCTGACCAGCTCTACAAGCTGTACTTGAGTGGAACAATGATAACAGAACTACCTGATGATATCTACCAGCTTTACAATCTGCGTACTTTGGCACTTGACGCAAACAAACTACCAGAATTGCCAGAAGCTGTATGTTCTCTACCACACCTTGGCCGCCTGTACCTTGGAGCAAACAGACTACAGGGATTACCCATGTCATTTGCACGTCTGCAAACTCTACGTACCCTTTGGATAGAACGGAACTTTCTACATCACTTTCCACAGGTGTTGCTAAGCATGCCTGCCTTGCGCTGTCTACAAATGGGGGACAACCGTTTAAAGGGACTTCCAGGGGACATTGCTACATGTATGCCAGGCCTAAAAGGTCTATGGCTCTATGGAAACAGACTAGAACGTGTGCCAAAAGTTCTCCTACGTTTACATGGTTTGGAGATTCTAGATCTGGACAAGAACCGCATTGCTGTGTTTCCAGATATGAGTGGAATGAAAGGTTTGCGCCTGTTATCCTATGACCACAACCCTGTGAAAGCACCTCCCAAAGTGGGGGAAACCGTTACTCTTGTGGGAGAAGGTGCTCAGGAGTTCATGGAAGAGCGGGAGGAACAAAGGAAGCAGAGAGAGGAGGAAGAGATGGAAGAACAGGAAAGGGAGCAGCAAGAGAAAGATGCAGCAAAGGCAGAGAGAGGTGAAGAAGAAGGAGAAGGGGAGGAAAAGCTGGAAGAAGAGCAATATGAGGAGGAAGAGGCAGAGCAGGAGAACCCTAATAGTGATCATTACTCTGGGAACAGGGAGGGGGACTTCTATGAGGAAGATGATGAGTATTACCTAGAGGAGGAAGAAGAAGGCTATTATTATGAAGGAGAGAATTATTACACAAGAGGGATTTATTAATATATTGTTAATTAAATTATGTTGAAGGTAATGAAAGGATAAGTGAGATAGATATATTTCCATTCTGTTTCAGTGAGCAAAATGCTTTTTGGTCAGCTGGACCTCTAATAGACCCATCTTAACTTTCCTGTATCTCAAATATACACTTAAAATAAAGGCTAGCCATTGGAGGAGGATCGGACATGCAGGCATGATATGACCACCTTCCAGCAAGTTTCTTGGCTAAGCCTTTCTTGAGCATAACAACTGCAGATTTCCACTTACCAGGGGTATTCTAAAGTGTGCAACCAAAATGGGCGCATGCACACTCATACTGCTTTTACAGGCATTTGAGCTTTTCTTTTTCTCTACCTCTAAACGCTCCTCCATGTCAGCCTATGTGTCCATGCACAATATAGGTGTTTACAGGAGTTTAAAGGCAGGGACATTTAGAAGCACAAGAAAAAACCACCAAAGTGGCGTTCAGGAGAGGAGCTTTTGGGCATAAAAAAGGATCAAAAGTGTATAAACGTGCATTAATGCTAGGTGCGTTTACACGTCAATACATTATAATGTCCACAAAAATTTAACTTTCTACATTAATGTGCAAATTTTCATGCAAAAACTTGGCTTTTTACCATGTTTTTCATCTCCTAAAATCCTGAAAGATCCTAAAATCCTGAAAGAGAAAAGGCATCATAGAGAATACAGTGTGCATGTGGTCTACCAAGCATAGACATGTACTTATGGCTACCTTAAAGGAGTCAGCCATATTACCCCATTCAGGGGAAAAGGTTCTCTTGTAAGAAGAACCCACAAGCCAATGATACTCACCATTGCTGTGCTCCCCCAGGGATCATAAATACCTGATCCTTCTGGGTACGGCGTGGCATGTGGTCTTCTCACAGAATGTAGTGCTCCACCTTGAGTGGCCAGTTGCTAGGTCCATGTGCTGTCAAGTGAGTAGAAGGAAGAAGTTAACCCTGCATAAGATCTAACACCATTCAACTCAGCGGTTACACAAGAAGTAGGAGGTACTGTATGGGTGAATGCAGTCAAGAGAACCTGCCATTTTCTCCTAAGCTTTGTAAAGAATTGAAAGGGGCCACATTCACTGTCAGGTTGTTTTTTGATATTGTTTGTGTCTCAGTTGAAGATAATTCCTTCTAGTAACCACAAGGGAAATAAGAAGACAACAAATGCCTGGCAGAGGTTCTGACCGTGAAAAAATATTTTGACCACAGTTTCATTTTAATCCTTCTACAAAATAAGCAGATTATTTGATTGTTTTTAATTGTAATATTGTCACAAAAAGATCCTTAAAAGAAGATTGTAAATATGCACCTTTTCTCGTAGCCTGCACCACCTGCTCTGTTCATGAATTCTCATCCTCTGGGAAACTGATCCATCTGGGAGTGTTGTCTCCAGGGCCTTCCACAGCACTGAATCTCCCTCTGATCTCCATGTCACTGTATGATACAGTAGAGATGTGGAGGTCAGAAGAAAATATTGAGAACTGGGTGAGACCCTGGAGACTGACACTACCGGAAGTGTCCTAGGGGTTTTGAGGGACAAGAACTCGGGAAGAGAGCATATTCAGTGGTGCAGGCACCAGAAAAGGTGAGTATTTATAGTTTGCATTTAGAGTTAAGCACGCCATACATGGGTCGAATTCCAAACGATTTTTGGGTCGAAAATTGGAAACATCATTCGTTCTGTAATCCAATGGTGCCACCAATGATTTCAAAAATCGGTCGTTTTTTTCCACAAATTTTCCAGCATGCCCGATAAGCAAAATGAGGAGGAACCACAAAAATCGGCTGGCGCCATTGCCCCACTAACAGAGAAAAAATTGGCCGATTATTCTTAGGTCCGATTTTCGAACAAAAAAATCATTCGGAAATCGATCCATGTATGGCCGGCTTTAGTGTTACTAAACCCACAACAGTAAAATCAGTCTGTATATGCAGTAAAGCATGCTTGTTATACTCACTGTGGAACCTAAGGGGTTAATCCTCTACATTGTGTAAAAAGGCTGCTTGATCCTATCTTCTCTGGTCCCCCCCTTCTTCTACTGTCCCCATTCCATCTCCTGATAGAACAGAGCCTTAGGGGCAAACTACACATGCTCAGTTTAGTATGTGTTGCTAGAGAGTTTTTTTTTCCTTTGGGAGGGTGCATGTGATAAGCACAGGACCAATCAGCGCTGTTCAGACAGAGGGTCAGGGGCTATGTAACCTCATAGGACAATCGGGGGAGAATGAAGACTCCTCCTACAAGCGTTAACCAGTGCTCTGCTGGACACTGATAGAAGTCACAAGACTACTCTAACTGCTGATGAGAAAAGGTATTTAGCAGTTTATATTTACTAAAATAGTTACATTTCCATGTTCTGTGTACTGTGGGAGACCAGATATAGTGATTGCAGGGTCCTGGGTTTAGTAACACTTTAAGAGAGGTTTTGCTAGTTACTTTTTACAACAGGGTTCCTTTAACAGAACACGATGAAAACTACATATACTGGTAGACATTAACTGTTACCTTGGTGCAAGGAGTATTTCTCTTTTTTTTGTTCAATATATATACATGTATATAAGTAAGATCTGTTTTATTGATAAAAACTTTGTTTCAATATATAGTTTATTAGCATTTGCTTGTTACATGTTTGTTTCCTGCTTAAAAAGTATATGTAAATCCAATCACTAAAATCTCATAATTAACATGTTAAAGTAATTTGTAATCCTTTCAAATGTCCAGCTTTTATTATAGTAATACCTGGTAGATCTGCCATGAAACTCTGACAGTGCTTGTGACAAGGTGACAACACTCAGTTACAGTCTCCAAACTGCTCTCCTTTATTGTCACCCTGTCACATGCACTACTATGAACTGCCATACTGGTTCTCATTGCACAGAAATGTTCATTTCGAGGGTTGCCAAGGGATTCAGTGATCTGACGTTTTCTACCAACAGCAGCAAAGAGGATAAGGAGGCCAGAAACATTTTAGTCTCTGGTCTGTCCCTCGTATCCTCCTTATTGCTGGAGGTAGAAGTCAGGCCGCTAAACCTTTGTGCAATGCTTGCCACCTCACTCAGTGCAGCAGAGGAATTTGGGGAAATGTGGAGGTGATGTTGTGTAGCCCTTTTGGTGCACACTGTTTATACAGTTCTTTTTTTTTTCTTGCTGTTTACGTATGCGCGCAGGTCCGACGTGAGCACCTAAAATTCTTTTTACATTTTTTTTTTTTTTACACTGTACCTCAACATGTTTTTTATAACTTTTATTGCCATCATAAGGGATGAACAACCTTCTTGGTGATAGCATGGACCATGACAGGTCTTTCTTATGGAAAGATCTTGGGTCTGTGAGACACCAGATCTCTTCTCTGGCCTCCAAAATCAGCAGATAAAACTGAGATTGGTTTGATCTACTGCTGCCAGGGGCGGACTGACCATTTGGAAACTCGGGCACTGCCCGAGGGCCCGGGGTCAGTAGGGGGCCCCATGAGATGCCCCTGGTACCTTTTTCATAGGCTTTTTTGAGTTTGGGCAAAGACACAGGGGCCCCATGATCCCCTATTGCCCGGGGGCCCCATGAGTTGTCAGTCCGCCCCTGACTGCTACACAAGCTGGCAATGGCTTGTAAACAAAGGAACCAAAGACGACAGTGATGAAATCCTTGTCTTCTGACGTCACACAGTGTTAGGAACAAGATCAGTTCCTTTCACTGTGTTTGGGGAAGTAGATGCAGCTGGTGGTATCCTTACTGGGACCCCCTTCTGCCACCTGTAAAAGTAATCTAGCAGCTATGATTACTTTTACATGGAAGGGAATCGCTGGCTGAAAAAAATGCAGCTGCAGCCATGACCTTCATATCAGCCTTCCAATCCTCACCGGTACGTCGCTGGTCGTCAACTAATTAATAAACCATTTGTAATTACCTGAAATTGCAATGTTGTAACAGATGGGGTACCAACTCTTCTTTTTCCTCTACCATAGTGTGTTTTTAGTGCCCACATTGCTTCTTAGAGACATGGATTCTGTTAAAAGAGTTCATCACAAGGTCCTTGCAGGGTCTCTTCATGATTGTCAAGCGGTGGCATCATTCATGACATCACAATGTTAGGGGCGGTAATGAGACTGGACAGCTGATCTATAGCAGCTTCTGATCACTGCTCTCCAGTACCAGAAGAGATGCCATGCATGCAGGTAAATCAAAGAAGGTCTTAGAAATGTTAAAGTCTAGATGAAGCTAAAAAAAAGAACAGAAAAATCAGCACAAAGGACACAACTTTTACAGCCAGTGGGATTTGTCCCTTGTGCTGATGACTCTTGTGTTAGTAGATATCCTCCTCTGTCTATGCCCCCCACCACCGCCATAATCTTCTGCTGCAACAGGGGTTAAAAAAAACTATGGGATAAATTATATAACCACAAATAAATGTCTCTAAGAAATCTAGTGTGTCTTCATCCAAATCTTAATATATGCTCCAGCACACAGTATGTAATGGACTAAAAAAAGGATTGTAAATTATGTCTTGTGCTGATCTTTCTCTTTTTTTATTTTAGCTATGCTTAGGCTTTAAGAAATGAATGTCTAGAAGCTGGTGGGGTGGGAAAGATTGTTTGTTTTTCCCCTACTTTCAGTTCTAAAGTCTTTTGTGAATCTCATTTTTCTAGACATACAAGTTATTTTAATTGGCTTTTATGAACAATCCAAAAAACCTTGTGTCAGCTGTATTTGCTTATATGAGTCATGCAAGTCACACTTTGTGCTTAGCAGTGATTATACTTTGTGTACTATATTACTATACTCTGATAATGTATTACCCTGTAAGTAATTTCATCTCAGCAGTGTATTAGCAGTAGGTTGCTTGCATTGATACAGGTGGAGACCATTCAAGATTTAAAAGTATTAAATGAATATAGTCAAGCCTGACTGTCAGTGCTGACCCCTTTCTAAAAATACAAGTTGGCAGGCTGTCATTTTATTGCTTTAATACCGGAGTCCATTTAGGCCTG